GGACAGTCAGAAGAGCTGGGAAGCAGGCACTACCCTGTGAGCATGACGGCCCAAGCAATCACGATGCCACAGCAGCAGCTGCAGCTGCCTACAGTGGACCTGCACAAGACGAGGTCTATCAACTGTCCCCATCCTTAAGCCCACTTGGCCCAACCCTTGCCTGCCAAACTCTACACTGGATTACAGGTGTGCTGGCTAGTTTACGTCAACTTGACACAGGCTGAGAGTCATCTGAGGAGGGAGCCGCCACGGAGGAAAAGCCTCTATAAGGTCCAGCTGTAGGCAAGCCTACAGGGCATTTTCTTAATTAGCGATTGTCCCGGGAGGGCCCAGCGCATTGTGTAAACCATAATAAACCCTTTCCTCCCCAACTTGCTTCTGGTCATGGTGTTTCACCGCAGTAATAATAACCCTGACTCAGACACTAGGGGAGGAGCAGACATGAATTACCAAACAAAACAGGGACCTGGGAAAGGGGCTTGTGGGGGTAGGGGATTAGGGCTGGGAGGGAGACAATAGCAAGGGGACAGTTACCAAAATGCACCACATACCCGTAGGAAACTGTCAAATAAAATCTAACTCTCATCCCAAACCCCTGTATGGCTATCTTCTACTGGTTTCTGCCACTTTACCGCCAACCTCTCCGATTTCCTCTGCCTATAATGGAGTTGGGTGTTGTTTTGTTTGGGGGGTGGGATATGGCTTCTGTTCACCTGTGAACAGGTAGAGGCGGCCCAGGAGAATGGCAAGTACCCTGCTGAACGCACTCCCTTCCCCAGAGACAGGCTCTCCCCGTGAACCTGGAGCTGGCTGGCTGGCTGCAGGGCCCAGCAATTCTCCCATTTGTCCCCAGCCGCTAGAGTGACAGGAATACACAGCCATACCCAGTGTGGGGTTTTTTTAACCTGGTCGGGGGATCTTTATTCAGGCACTAAGCTTGTGGCACGTGTGCTCTTAGCCACTGAGCCAGCCCCCGACTCATTAAAGCATACCCCTAACTGAGGTTTCGGCCCTCACCTTGTGTTATCCATTTCACACATTCTCCATGGAGCATGGCCACTTCTGACCACCCAGCTAGCCGCTACACAGCATCATCCCAAAATATCCGAGGGTACCAACACTTCCAACAGCCAACGGCCCCTGCAGATGAGGTTTCTTCCTCCACTCCCCAGCTGAGTTAACTGCACCTTAGTCTAAGTTACCCAGCCCATCCTCAACCAACCAACCAGTACTAGCAGCTTTACACACCTTCAACAGTGTGGGCGGTGCAGCGTAGGTTACCGTCTGGTGATGGAATTGTTTTTGTTTATACAGTAACTGGCCTTGTCAGTTAATGTTACCCTTGGTTGTCAATTAGATGACTGGGCATGGGATCAATTAAAAACCCCATCTCCAGTATTTCTGGGACGGATGAGCTAAGGGGAGAAGACCCTCTCCCCGAGTGCCGGCACCTTCTGGCAGCCTGCCAGCCCTCGTTCCCGGCTGGGGAGTGAGTGCACTGGCTCTGCTGCTCTGCAGTCACCGTTCCCTGAAGTCAGACCCCAGCCTCTTCTGCCATCCAAGTCACACTGAAGACCAGCAGCTCTCCAGCAATCCTCCAGGCCTTTGGAGCCAAAGCATCCAAATTTGGGGGACTAAGCCTCAGCCTCTGCGGTGTGTAGACAGCCAGTTGAATTAAGCAGTCTGTGTTATACAAGGAAGCCAATCTAATAAATCCCCTTTTATAATGTATCCATTCCAAGAGTCCTGTTCCTCTAGAGACCCCAAACATAACTGTGTACTAAGAAAAATTACTTCAGGCTTGGGACGAGCCCTGCCTGGTGTCAGGCATGACTAGGAAGAAAACAGTTCAGTCCAAACAAAGAAAGCCACAGAAAGCTCTTCTCCTACCCAGGAGCTAGGGTATGTTTTTCTGGTGCCTCTTTCTTTTTAAAAAAAACTTTTATTACAGCTTATTATATGTGTACACTGATGCTAAGTCAGGGGACAACTTGTGGGAGCCCATTCTCTCCTTACAACATCCACAGGATCTCCAATCTGGAGACCCTGAAGATTAAAGTCAGGTTACAAGGTTTGGGGACAAGTGCCTTTTCCTAATGAACCATCTTGCTGGACAAGCTCTACCTCATTTTTTTTTTTTTGTTGTCTTTTAAGGATTTTTATTTTTAAATTATATGTATGCATGTGTATCTACGTAGGAGCACATGAACGTGATCGCCCAAGGAAGCCAGAAGATCGCAGTGAATTTCCTGGAGCTGCAGTTACGGGCAGCTGAGCCAGCAGACTGACACCCTTGCTGGAAACCCAACTCAGGCCCTCTGAAAGAGCTGTGCACACTCTTACTTGCTGAGCCATCTTTGCAGCTGCCCTATCGTAAGAGTGTTTGCCTAGCATGAACAAAGTTCCGGACTTGATCCCCAGCATGACAGTATTGTGGCTCACACCTGTAAGCCTGGCACACAGGAGCTAGAGGCAGGAGGATCAGAAATCCAAAATCATCCTCAGCTACACAGCAAACTGATGGCTGGCTGGGCTACACGAGACCCTGTCTCAGAAAATAAATAAATAAATAAATGAAGATAACGCGTTTATTATGTATCTCCAAAGTAGGATGCACGCTTAGTGTATGGGAGTTAGTCCAGGGCTCATCAAAACAAAAAGGTATTCTAAAACCAGAGGCAAGGTTTCTTGACCTCTTCAATTCAGATACCTTGAATTTCCTGGTAGAGGTAGATCACAGGCATCACCTGTGCTTTATGTCAAAGACCTAGGAGTGGCTAGTGCCTTGGTTAGCGTCACTATCACACAACAGCACATGCTAACCACTCAACAATTAATTTTCCAGAGAAGAGTTCAAGCAGCAGCACACTAAGTTACAAAGAGACCAAAAGACAGTTTTATTGCTTTACAAGGCAGCAAGGAACACGACTAATTATCAACATGACACTTCTAAACTCTCAAATGCAATTACAACACCAGGTCTAAACTCTCAAACGGAATTACAACACCAGAACGTACTCCTTCTATTTAAATGCAATTTCATTGCGTTTGTTCAAGAGTTATGTAGACACAGTGGCACTGGCCTAGACAGAATCCCAGCTGCTTGGCAGGCTGAGGCAGGAGGAGGGCTTGAGCCCCGGAGGTTGAGACCAGTCTAGAGAACACTATAGGCGGGACACCACACCCTGTCTCTAAACAGGTACATCTGAAACGTTTGGCAAGAGCTTTAATGTGTCCAGCAGCACAGCACCCACACTTAACCAACAAAGCCAGGACCTGTGGAACCACCTGTCACTACTGAACATGCAGCTGGAAAGCCGCCTACTCGGTCCAGCCTGTGCTACCACTGAGCATTTTAAACAACCTTCCCAGACTGTACTCACGAGGTGGAAACAGAGGTGCGAATCCCAGGCCAGCCTGGACTATTAGCAAAGCTTTGTCTCCAAGGGCAAACTAACGAACAATAGCCTAGTAACTTGGTCTAACGCTGCAAAAAGAACCGTGGAGAAAGCTGGTCTACATGTCCAACAATACGCAGCAATCACGTCCCATCCCCTCTGATAGGAAATTACGAGTCGCCATCACCCCACCCCACTGCAGAGGGGCTGAACCCAGGGCTTCACGGTGCTAGGAACACAGGCACTGAAACATTCCCCTGGCCTTTTTGGTTGTTTTCCTGCCACAAGGTCTCACTCAATTAATCAGGCAAGCCTTGAGGCCGTGAACTTGCCATCCTCCTGCCTCAGCCTGTGGATCTGGGAGGACAGGTCTGCACCTTCGGGTCCCACTTCCCAGTCAGTCTTTTAGCCACAGCCTGACAAAAGCGAGTCTCAAATATCCCACTGCACAAACATGAAGCCCGAACTAACTAACATCAAGCGAGAAAGGGTGACATTTCTAAAAGCTCCTTATTACAATGAAGACACCAGCAGCTTCCTCGCAGAGGGGGAAAAGAAAAAAGCTGGGGCGTTTTTTGTTAGATTTTTGGGGCGTTTTTTGTTCTCGTTTTTTTTTTTTTTTTTTAAGTCCCAGGAATGGACCCGGGCAAGTGCTCTACCACTGAGCGACATCACCAGCCGTGACTTCAAACAAAACTGCAGAACTGCCCCAAGAATGGCCACAGACGCATTCTTACACTATCTGAAAAGAAGCAATCAGAAGAGCACCCAAAGGTTGCGTCACTACCCTGAACTGTGCATCTAAAATGTACTGATCGCATCGAAACCCCAAAGTTCTTATTCCAAAAAAAAATACTAGCAACCACGTGAATTTTTTTTTTTTTTAAAGTCAAGTTTTACTTTCTTCCACGGCAAACAGCACTGTTTTCTGTTAAGAACACACTCCTCGGGTACAGCTAATGAATGAATGCATGAGGATGGCTTTCTACTCCCAGACCAGGGCTGGCTGGCTGCTGGGAAAAGGTCTCATGGTTCACAAACACAGCACACATGGGTGTTAGCTCACGACAGGAGTGGCGACTCTAACTGCTAAGGCAGGCAGGACAGAAGGGGACCTCAGAAAACAAGGTGCTCTAACCAGACAGCGGCATCACTTAACAGAAGATCCTTCTAAACTGGCCTTGCTGAGTTGGACTCTACAGTCTCATATGCAGTACTCTGATGGCAGTGAAAGAATTGAGGCCTCTAATTTCCTCGGCCAATAAAAAAAAAAAAAAAAAAAAAAAAAAAAAAAAACCTAATTTACAAGGCTTAAAATAAGAAGGGGAAAATAAGGTCCCCTCACTTGCCAACCATCCTCGCACTGTACTCAAGCTAGGACTAGCAATGGAGGACTAACTTGGACCTAGCAAACATCATGGGGTCACTTCTGGAAGAATCACGAACAAGACAGGAAACTCGTCTAGCAGTACATCAACAGTCAGGTAATCAAGAAAAGAACGTTCACCAAGAGACCAACACTTACACTTTTGACAAAATGGTAATACAACAAACTACACGGCAAGTTCACTGAAACTTCAACAAGGGAAATCCTATCAGTGGAAAGGGTTTTTTTTTTTTTTTTTTTTTTTTTTTAAGATCCAAAAAGTATCTCAATTCTGCTACTCACACCACACAGCTGGTTGCGAAAATAAAGCGCAGCGTTTAGCAGCTGGCGTGCTAACTAAAGGAGAGGCACTGTGCCAGCCCTCCCTGGCAAACGCCTTGTCGGCAAGGCCAGCCACAGGGAGGAGAAGCTCCTATTTTTCACCACAAGCCGCTGCTGTCTCCTTATTGAAGCCTCGGATGGAAAGATCATAGACCACCTCCTCCACTTTCTTCACGTCGTACTTCAAGCCATCGTAGCGCTTCCTCAGGGAGTCGTTTTTCAGATTGAGAAGGCGGAACCCTGAATCCAGCTCATTGATGAAAGTAGAGATGTGAAGGGGCCGAGAGTAGTCTCCAGCAGTCACACTATTGACAGACAGCCTGGACTGCACACGGAGGAGAGATCAGGAGCGTTACTAAGTGGCCTCTCCCTCGGCACCTCCCCCCAATCACAGCTAGAACCTTAAATCTAGACACCCACACCCAACCGTATTCGGGTACTCATCAGCACATTACAACAGAAGGTCCTCTGCAACAATCCCCACCAGAGCTCAGACAATGTCTGCTACAAGCGCTAGGTATAATTAGCATCTTCTAAAATCTCTCTAATGCCATTAGCTGGCTATTGTGGAATACAGTTATGTTAAATCAAGCAAATTTCAACTTCACAGCTCATCAGCTACTGTACAGAACAGGAAAAAAATGTCACAGCAATCAATGACTCTGTTATCATTGTAAAACTAGGCCAAATGAGCACACGTCTATATACAGCCCACTACTGAGGGCCATCTGTCACCTAGAATCAGTGACACAAGACAGGCGGGTTAAGAAGCCAAAACTAAGTCACTTCAATATTGTCTTGAAGCACAGGTAGGATTTCAAGACTCCAACTCAAGAGCCTCTTCCCCATGAAGTCCTTTCCTATCTCACAGCCTTCTCAGTACATTCCCATCATGCACAGTAGTCAAGACACTTCACCCTGGCCACTAACGGTGACCAGTGCTCAGAGATTCAAACTTCCTGATGAGTTAGTTAGTTGCCTCCCACAAGTCTGAGATGGAGGTGCAACTTTCCAATGGGCTTCAGTGTCCCCTCTCCCCATTTCCATATTGAGATTGTTCAAATCCTCACTGCTTTCCACAAACACCAAGAGATGGCAGATCCGGCCCCAGGTTAGCAGCCACAGAACGGCTGCTTTCTTTTGGTCCATTTTTGCAGTGCTTGCGCGGATGGAACCTAGGCATGCTACACGTGAGGCAGGGGAGTGACCCTACAGCCACATCCCAGCCCCGAGTCCTTAGGATGCTAAACGGAACTAAAAGTTGTTCCGTGATTTCCATGCACGCTTCATTCATGTCACACGCATGCAACATTCACAAATGTGCACCTGCACACATACAACGCGCGCACACGCGCGTGCACGCACGCACACACACACACACACACACACACACACACACACACACAACACTACCCCCAAACACACTCCTTACCAGCTCACTAGCAAGAATTAAAACTCCTGAGAGGTAATCTTCCACATCCAGATGAAATCCTTTCTCCCGATCTGGTTCAACTAAGAAAACACATCAAAATAAAAGACAGTCACGACTGAGGGCAATTTCAGCTGGAAAATATAACACACACACACACAGTCAAATGAACAGATGAAAAATCTTCCCTAGCTTCTTAGGGTGTCCCCACCTTTGCCAACCCTACAGATGCTATTACACACTGCTCATGCTGGCCGCCTAGCCTGGTGACCCCAGTTCATACTGGGAGCTGCCTGACATGCCAGAAGGCAACCAACACCCAAACTGTCCTCTGACCTCCACACGAATGCCTCATGTTCTGTGCACACGAGCACAAATAATTCAATGCAGTTAGGCTTTTGCTTTTTTTTTTTTTTTTAAGTAGACAGTACCCAAGGAAGAACACCCAGGGTTGTTGCTCTGACCCACTTAAAAACACAGATAGGAATAGTTCCCCACACACCAAACCTAAGCTAATGTTCATGACTCCACGGATCACACGGAGGCACTTACTGCCAAGAATCTCTGTAACCGCCTCCCGAGTCACCAGGGTCTCTGTTTCCAAATACACTACGAAGGCCGCCAGGAAGACAAGGCGCTGGAGCACAAACCGCCAGTGCTCGTGAAACCTGCAAAGGCACAGCAGGCGCCAGGGTTAGGGCTGGCTGCCACAAGGACGCGCCCAACGCGGCTCATCCAGCACACTGGAAATGGGGCTCTCCTACAACAATCGACGCGCAACCCCAATATATACAACAGACAGAAGCAGTCAGGCCTCGGTGGCTCTCCTACAACAATCGAATTGCAACCCCAATATATACAACAGACAGAAGTAGTCAGGCCTCGGTGGCTCTCCTACAACAATCGAATTGCAACCCCAATATATACAACAGACAGAAGCAGTCAGGCCTCGGTGGTGCACACCTTTAATCCCAGCACTTGGGAGACAGAGGTGGGTGGATCTCTGAGTTCGAAGCCAGTCTACAAAGCAAGTTCCAGGGCAGGTTCCAAAGCCACAGAGAAACCCTTTCTCCAAAAACAAAAAACAAAATAACAACAATAAAAAAAAAAAAAAAGGACAGAAACATCTCAAAACTCAAATACATTAAATGGATTTGGCATAAATTTGCCAAGTTCAGATTTGCAGTATTTACTTGTAAGTTTAATCAATCCAATTTTTTAATATAAAAATTAAAAATTGAAGACGGCTCAGGTAGTAGACTATTTGTCTGGTATACACAAAGCCCTGGGTTCTGCTCCACACACACCGCATAAAGTGGGCATGGTTGCACACATACGTAATCCCAGCATTCAAGAGGTAAAGGCAGGAGGGGGAGATGTTCAAGGCCATCATCCTTTAGTATACACCAAGGCTGAGGCCAGCCTGGGCTACAAGGAAAGAAAGAGGAGGGGAAGAGGAGAAATACTGCAATCAAATTACAATCTCAAAAAAATAATTGTTTTTTAAAGTAATGGTTTCCTTAAAAATTATTTGGAAGCAAACAGAAGGAAATATGAGAAGAAGGTGACTCTGTGTTGTTCCTTCTACAAAGACTTTTACCCACTCCCACGGAATACATCAGCACCTATTTTTCCCTTGCCTTTCTTCCAAAAGCCTAATGTTGTAAACTAGAGCTGGTTTTCTTACAAACCTGTAATACTGTTCCGCGGGGAACTTGGTCTTCAGAGATGTGAGGTGTGTCTTCACAGTACCAAAATGTTCTCGAGCTTTCAAGCACCGCTTTGGAACTGATCAGAAAAGAATCAAATTTAACAATGAAACACTTACCAAGTTACAACTACAGTTCTTGCTTAATAATCTATGTAGTTTCCCTGGACATTAACCAACTTAAAGGCAGAGACTATTATCCCTCAGCTGCCCAACTGTTTCTATCTACACTGTGATCAGAAAGAGCTCTTACTGACTACTGTCAGACTGGTAAACCCCACATCACCACATAAATGACTTGCCTTGGAGACTCCATGAGAGAATCACTCTCTCTTAGCTGTGCTGCCAGCCTCTTACTGTAAGGGCTTCCGTGTCTAACTATAAGCCTATGAATTTTACATTTTATATTTGTCACCTCATATCTACAAATGTATACTATCAGGTATTCCATCATTACAAGCATACATGCGCACACACACACACACACACACACACACACACACACACACACACACACACACACCTGTTCACCAAATAAAAGTTCTTAGATATGCAAGGTTCTTTTGGTTTTTGGTTTTGGGCAAATGGTTAATTGAAAAGCAATCAACATACCAAGAATACTGCAAATCCATAAAATGATCAAGCTGCTATTCTCTAATTTTTACTACTAAAAAGAAAGCATATTGGACATTTTACACAATAAGATGACACAGATACACTAGATATAGCTTCCTAAAGGAAATTAACTTAGAGACTGACAGACTGGACAGAAACCTTCAAAAGCAAAGCAAAGCACTTACTGTCCTGAAACCCAGGGCCCTGGTGAACCCCTTGAAGCAGGGTCAAAATCTCTCGAGCAGTTTGTTCTAAACTCTGTACAACTTTTCGGATTTCCTAGAGAATTACAAAAACCAGATAAGGTCAGTGTGATCATTATCAGTCATACAAACATGCTACCAAACCTCATATTATTCAGTCACAACCCTCTGAAGCCACACTCTTCCACTGATTTACTCTTGTCACAACTCAAGGAGTCACTAAAAAGCCTTAGATTCCTAAGGTAGCCATAAAAGAAAAACAGCCATCTCCCCAAGTACCCATCTGAGACACTATAAAAATTAATAGTTGGCAATGTGAATGCTGTCTACAGAAAAAAGTTTAAATACAAATTCTGAGTGGTTTTCATTAATTCAATTTACAAACACTCACTGAGCACTTTCAGTGATGGGCCTTATTCAGCCATTCAAGACGCAAACATCCCTTCTGGCAACTTAATAAGTAGGATAGCACTTTTTAATTTTTCATGAATTTAAAAGCTAGCAGAAAGCAATCCTTTATGTTAGAAGGTCAAGATGAGAGCTGTAAACTGTGCTCAGGCAGCGCCTGTCTGTGTAATACCAACACTAAAGACGCCAAAGGCTAAAGATTCAAGTTCGAGGCCACGCAGGGCTCCATATCAAGGTCCTGTCTCCAGTACAAAAGAGCGAAAACGGGAGATAAATTCCAGCAAAAGCAGACAGTACATTCAAGAGCCCTCAAACAGGATAACATCTGAAGCACTGGAGAAATGAAAAGGTAAATCTGAACACACGCACACAGGAAACAAGTGTAAAATGAGATCGGGGACAGAGACCTTATGAGCCACAGCAGAATCTAGACTTTTTAAATTCTATGTGGAATGAGAAGGTATGGGAGTTTTTTTGTTTGTTTGTTTGTTTGTTTGTTTTATTTTGTTTAAAGGAAAGATAGCAAGTACTTTTTAAAGAAAATCAGCAGCCAGTACTTTTCAAGAAAGGTGTACTGGATGATCGCCCCGGGCGTTAACGGAGCCTGGGAAGGGAATCCTGAAATAGTGGATTTCAAAGTGGCAGGAAGGCAAAGTGATATTCGAAGGGGCGGGTGATGCTGAGGAGCAAGAAGAGAAATCGAATCGGGAACCGAGAGGCGGCCTAACCTGAACCCATCGGCCCGAAAACAAGACAGCGAGCAGGGCGGGACCGAGCAGCCCAGCCCGGCAGGGAAGAGGAAAAAAAGGATGGGGAGGCTCGCCTCTCGGATGTCCTGCTCCGCAGCCAAAAAGCCCTGCAGCTCCACGAAGATCTCGCTCACAGACATGGCGCCGGCCGCCCAACAATCAGCCAGCGCCCGAGCACAGACAAGCAGCGAACTCGCTCTCTCGCTCGCAACGCCCGTCGCTGCCGCCGCCGCCGCCGCCGCGTCCGCCGGCTCTGCGCCACCGCTGGCGCCGGGGTCTTCCCACGCCCGCGGCGCACCGGAGCCCGGGCTGCCCGCCGCGATGCCTGAGGCGCCGCGCCCAGAGCCCCGTGCCAGGCGCGCGTGCGGACGCCGGGCAGCAGCACTCAGGGCGGGCCCCGGCGCCGGCGCCGCCCGCAGATAGGCATCGCCGCAAACAGCCCGACGCGAGGGGCTTCGGGAGGCACGTGGCCCTAGGCCCGCTGATAGGCAGCTCCAGCCGAGGAGGCGGGGCCGAGGGCGGGGACAAGCCTAGGCTTGCAGATAGGCAGATAGGGAAACCGCCGGGAGGGAGGGAGGGAGGGAGGGAGGGGGCCTTCGCGGCACGTGGCTCGAAGGAGGCGGGGCCAGCGAGTGGTGCTGCTGGCTTATGCATGCTATTTGCATACTTCAAGGGAGGAAAAAAAAAATACTGAGCAACAAAGGGCATGCACAGAGTGTGCAAGAATGTCAAAAGAAGTAGTCTAATAAATAAAAATGATAAAAGGGCAGAGTACGGTGAGTCACGCCTTTAATCCCAGCAGAGGCAGGAGGATGTCTTTGGGTTGAAGGCCAGCCTGGTCTAGAAGGCGAGTTTCAGGGCAGCTAAGGCTGTTACACAGAGAAAACCGATAATGATACTATACAATTTCCAATAGATATTAATAAATAAAAATGTTATCTTCAAAGATGTTTGCTAATGTAATCTTCGAGTGATAAAAAACACTTCATCTGGGAAAGTGCTTGGGGCTTTGAAATCCTTGCCTGCCCCACCACTAACCAATCATTCCAGTGAGTATCTTGAAAAATCTGGTCTTGAGCAATCTCGAAGCACCCAGAATTCACCTTGAAGCTTTTCCACCTAGTCAGAGAGTCCACTTATTGTCTGAACGAGCTTGGGTCGAGTCTGTTGAGTTGTCTCTCTGAAAGGGCATCTTCAGGAGTGGAGTGGAGTGGATGGCTCTTAGTCATTGGAAGATGGCTTAGCAGTTGAGTTTGTCAATAGCCTGACCGTCCAATGGAAAGGAAGAAACAACTCCCACAAGTGGTCGTCTGGCCACTTCAAACACACACACACACACACACACACACACACACACACACACACCAAATAAATAAATGTTTACTCTTTGGAGAGCACTCTGAAATTCTCCCCGAAACCCAGCAAATCTATTTTAACCTCAAAAGAGCCAATCTTCTTTGAAGGGGCAGGAATTAGCCAAGACACCAGAGCCCTCTTGTGCAGGAACTGTTTTTGATCATGTGATGGTCCCAGTTACCTCCTATCTTAGATGGGAAGGAATATTCCAAGTGCCATTTAACCTCAACATTTACCTTTCTTTGGAGTCCGTGGCTGGGGTTTAGACCCCTTGCTGCAGCAAAGGAGAGGAGCTGGTTCTTTTGATCAGAAAGTTTCTCTATCCCAACAATCAGCCTCTTGTTTTCTTTGGGTTTTTTGTTTTGTTTGTTTGTTTTGTTTTGTTTTTTGTCTTGTTTTGATAACATAGATAGGTGTTAGGCCTCAAAGAAACCCAGGGCAAGTCTCACTCATAGCTACTCCAAGTATTTCTCTCCCTGCCCCCAACCCTAAAACCCTCCCTCTCCCCCCTCCAGTTTTCTTCATTTTGGCTTTGTACTCCCTTGGTCCTCTGGCTCCCTTTTGACCTCTGGACCCACTTGCCCTCCTTCCCTTCCTCCCCCCTCCTCTCTCCTCTTCTCCCCACCTCTCATGGTCTTCCAGATGCTTGTGGCTAGTCCCTTCCTTGTATGTACAATAAACCCTTCTAAAGCATACCTTGGAGCAGTCTTATGTTCATTTGTCATTATCGGGGTCTTATTCAGGGTGCTGAACTCATTATGTAGCTAAGGCTAGCCATGCACCTTCTGACCTTCCCGGGATGACAAGCATGGACCACCATGGCCAGCTTTAAGTCATCACTTGACCAAACTCCCATGCCTGCTATTTTGTTCAAATACCACCGTCTGAGAAAGTTCCCAAGATATCCAAGTTCAGGGGTGTGGTAGACATGAGGACAATGGCTCCAGCAGCAACATCTGGGAAGAGTGGCTTGTGGATGGAAGGATAACTCTCTCTTGAGTCCTGTAGTCCAACACGTAGAAATATCTGGCCTCCTAGTGGACCACACCAAGTGACTATAGCTGGCATACAAGCCCAGGCGCTAGAGAATGCAGGCAAAGGATGGGACCTATGACCTATGACCTCCCTGCAGGTAGCAAAACCAGCAACATGGCTGTGTGTGACTTGAGATAGCTTTCTTTTCCCCTTGAGGGCATGGTTTCCCTGTCAAGTCACAAATTACTAACCCTTATCTCGAAAAGATAAAGCTAGACCTCTGAAAGGTGCCCTGGGGAGAGTCTCATACCTGTAATCTCAGTTCCTGGTCTACCCGGTGCGAAAGGAGGATCCTTGAGCTAGGAGTGTAAGACCAGCGTGGGAGCACTGGGTGGCATTGCAAGACCCCCATCTCAGAGGTGGGTGTTAGCAGAGTAGCGTTTGTAAGACCCCTATGGAGGGAGTGCAGAAAAGGTAGAAGGGCCAGGTGTGGTAATGTACAGCCGTGTGACCAGTACTTTTGACAGCCAAGCCATGAGGATTGGAGATTTAAGGACTCGCTAAGCTAATGGTGATACAGGTCAAAAAAAAGAAAAAGGTGAGGGTCCCAAAGTGTATGCCAAACAGAACTTTTGTCTTTATGACTGACTATTCTAGATACCTCAGAAATGCAACTTTAGGGGCTAGGGATGCGGTTCAGTTGAGTGAGTGCTTATCTGGTGTTAGGTCCCAAGGGCCTCCAAAATAGTAGTGCTGATGACAAAGTCCAAAACAGAAGGAATGCTGTTGGGTAAATGGAAGCCTGAGGGTGAGTTTCTATTTACCAGGAACCTCCCTTAACCCATCCTGAAGGTCCTCTACCTCAGGCAAAGGCATCTAGTTGCTGAAGAACCTGAACAGCCTAGGTTCCAACATCACATAAACTGCATGCGGTGACAAACACCTGTACCCCCAGCCCTCGGGAGGTGAGGCAGGTCAATCAGTAGTTCAAGTTCATTCTCAGCTGCATAGTGAGCTTCGGGAGAAGTGCAACTCAGAAAATCTTTGTTTTTCCGTGTCTGGCTTTGTCTTCTTAGTTCGGGTTTCTGCTGCTATGATGAAACACCATGACCAAGACAACTTGGGGAAGAAAGGGTTTATTTTAGTTTACGCTTCCAGGTGAAGGAAGTCAGGGCAGGAAATCAAACAGGGCTGAAACCTGGAGGCAGGAGCTGATGCAGAGGCCACGGAGCAGAGCTGCTTACTGGTTTGCTCATCATGGTTTGCTCACCCTGCTTTGTTATAGAACCCAGGACCACCAGCCCAGGGATGGCGCCGTGGCTTTAATGCCCACGTGGGAAGGGCCTTCCCCCATCAATCACAAATTCAGAAAATATTCTACAGGTGTGCCTACAGCCTGTTCTTATGGGAGCATTTTTGAGGCTCCCTCCTCTCAAATTAGTTTAGTTTGTGTCAAGCTGATAAAAATTTCCAAGATAGGCTTATGTCACATTACAATGGCCTCAATGTGCATCTGTGCCATAGCATGTGCCCAAATTTAAAATCCTTTCTATGAACTCAAACTTTACCAATTGTCTGTTGAGCAGAATTCATATTATCCACCTTTTGACTTTTTTCTTTTCTTTTCTTTTTTAAGGAGAACTAATATATTGGGCCTGCTTAAGGAGCATGGGGGGAGGGGCAACTAACAGGAGAGAGATATGGCACCTTTGCCTGGAAAACAGATTACTCATAGCTCCAGGGGTAGAGCCCAACCCGCTTCTGATGACCTCCCACACTGTAGCATCACCTGAGACCATGAGGCAGTTAGGGCAGAATGACAAGGAAATGCCTGGAAAATACAGGAGGGAGCAGCCTACATCTGTCTCTCCTCCCTCCCTGATTCTAGGCCAGAAAATCAACAGTCAGTGCACTCATGTGGGTGTTACTTGCAGGTCCTTCCAGATGTTCTGATGCAGATGATGGCCACGGTTCTCTGAAGATAGTGCCATATGGGTTGGTCGCAGGCTCACACACACATATTTGAAACTATGCTGGCGCTCCCCACACAGCAGGTGTGTAGCCTACCTCTACAACCACACGAAGACTCTATCCAGGGCTCCCATGCCCAGGACCTGTCTATCGAAGCTACCAAAGCCCCAATCTTGACGCCACAGTCCCATGGGTTGGACTAGGAGAAACCATCCTGAGTGAGGTAACCCAGCCACAGAAAGACAAACATGGTATGTACTCACTCACTCATATATGGATGGTATTAGACATAGAGCAAAGGATTACCAGAATACAATCCACACCTCCCGAGAAGCTAGGAAACAAGGAGGACCCTAAGAGAGACATACATGGTCCCTCGGTTAAGGGGAAAGGGACAAGAGCCCCTGAAAACATTGGGGGGGGAAGGGGGAAGGAGGAAGGAGGAAGAGGAGGGGAGAAGAGGAAGGGGAGGAGGACATGAGGGATCAGGAAGATTGAGTGGGGAGATGAATAGAGGATGGCAAGAAAAGAGACGCATCAATAGATGGAGCCATGCTCATCACCTGGGCACATCTCTGCCTCTCTGCCCGCTACGCCCATGTGGACATCTCTCTTTTTAAAGATACCTACTCCTCTCCCTCCATTGGAATCTTTGGTTTTTCCAAAATCTCTCCCAGTCTTCTCCAGCCGCTTTCGCCTCTCCTCCTCCACTGGGTAAGCATGACCCCAGAGCTGTCTGCTTTTATTACTACAGACGCCACACCCGTGTGCCAGGATGCTATCATGCGGACAGACGCACCTCTTCTCTGTGAACCGGGACAATTCTCTCAGTCCACTTGGGGAGGCCCCAGATTGGGCTTACCCCCTTGCTCCCTCTCAGTATCCTCCTGGGCCTGTGACCCTTTCCTTCTTCCTCCCTGTCAGAGCCACCTGGAGGTTGCCTGCCTCCCTGTAGGAGCTGAAGTCCTGTAGCTTCGCTAAGCCCTTCTGGGCTTACGTTAGAACCCTCCCTTGGGCTGGGCTCCTATACTTAGCAACTGTTCCCTCTCAGCT